TTTCCTTTTTCAGAAATTGCACTACCTACTAACGTATCTATTGTCAACGACTCTACCTTTCTCTCTTTCCTTTTTAGTACTTTTCTCATCTTTTAAAAATATTTAAATTGTAAATTTGGACTATATTCTTTTAATTTCTAAGCTTTAAAAAAAATTAAAAATCCTTAAATTGGAACTTTCAATCTTGTATCTACAGATTTTTTATGTAATATATTGATTTGGTGTCCGAAAACACATAGAAATTACTAATTTCTAAGGTAGATGATCATTATGGAGTTTGAACTCATTCCCTCTTAATTAACCTTAACCCTTTGTGGATTTAGAAGCACCATTTTTTAACAGTAAAATTACAGTTTATTAGTTTATTAGAGGTTAGATTATAAAAATTGCCTCCAAACTTTGATCTTCATTTCAAATATAGTCTTATACTTTCAAAATTTTCAATACTATCATTAACCGTTCATATTATTCGAACAAACATCCATTTATATTTTGAACGGAAAATTGGCGTATTAGAATATAAAACGGTGTGACAATTATTGTGAAAAATCCTATAATCGGACAACGTGACAATTAACGTAGAAAGCAATAAACATCCAACATCATCGTCAATTTCCTCGTCCTTGCTAGCTCCGTGCATATGCCCTAACATCCCCACGACCCGAGTTGTATTCAAAATCGACCCGTGTTGTCATGTTGTGTAAACTTTCCACATTAATTGCTACATCGTTTCAAATTCTACCACGTCAATTTTTAGTTTAAAATATTAACGAAAGTTTGSTCAGTAAATTTTTTGAAATGTTTATAAAAGCTCAATGATAATATTGAAACTCTGTGAGAGGTATTTTTTTTTTTTTTTTGAAACAAATGATAAAATTAAAAGTTTTTTTTTTTTTTTGTGGGGGTAATTTAGCCTATAAAACATAAGGTGTTAAAATTGAACACGGATTTTGAATTGATATCCGTTGGCCTGTCCTTGTGGACAGAGGAAGGTTAGGGTGACATAATTTGATTATTGTGTCCCCAATCTTTGTTGTATTTTTGTTTTTTGTGTGAAATTCAATTCCACTACTTATGAGATCAACTCTCTGATTTTACGACTACTGAAAAGAATTTACATCACATCCATCTCCATTTTGGATTTTTTTTTTTCTCTCCAAAAAGGGAAAAAAAATCTGTAATTGGATCTTTTTCAGTGGCAATCACTATTTGTTGGTTTGATTTTCTTATACATAATACATATCATTGCTGGATTGAAATACTACTCACCCGCATTTAAAACTATTTTGGGACGACGAAAATTATTTTTATCATTTTTAAAATCTTTTATAGCATTGTAAATATTACTGTTTTGAATTAAGATGATTTTAGCAACCCTGATAAAAATAATTTTGATTATGCCAAAAATCACTTTCAAATACATTTTTGTGAGTGATTATAAAATGAGTGGTTTTGAAAAAATATATTTAATTACAATTATTTTTTTTAAAATGATTTGATTACCATTGATATAAAATTTTGGTTTGATTTTCAATCCCAACAAAAATCACCTGCCAATTAATACTTCAAAATTCACTTTAAAATGACAATTTTATCCATTTACCTACTATCATTAGTTTAAAAGAAAGTGAAAATCACTCCAAACTTTATCTTGAATGTTTGACAGTGATGTACAAGTGATTTTAGAGAATATCAAAAGTAATTTTAGCTACGTCTAAATTACGCACAAACATGATCCTAAATACTTCTTACGATATAATGATTGAAAATATAACCAATTTTTATACCTAATTATGCAAATACAACCAAACTTTCTGAATAACTTATTTTAAGGCTTTTAAAAATTTTAATTACACTCCCTATATTTTAGTTTATGTTAGGTATTTTAACAAAAAATTGCTAATGGCTAGCCATTTTAAAAACAATTAAAAGATTGAAATAAAATTAAAATGGAAATCATATACGTATTTTCGAGGTATTTTGTATGGTTTTAGTCTATATTTATATTTTTTTCTCCAAAATAAAAAATAATTATAATAATTAACTCGCAATAAATCTAGCATATAGTGGATATTTTTTACCCTTCTATTTTGCCTTTGTCTGATGTATAATTTCAAAAAAAAAAAAAAAAAAAAAATTTATCTAATTTCAAAATTTTTTTTATCTAATTTATGTTTTTAAGATTTGTACTTCAACCCATGCTCTCGTGGAAAATAAAATGATTGAAATGAGTTTCACACAAAGGAACATGTGGCTCGTGAATTAAGATGTGTATTACAAATGGACCATTAACTAATTAGATTTAGAGAATTTAATTAACATGTGGAAAATGGGTAAGACACAAACGCCACAATTGGGCATAGCCAAATGTATTGAGAAACTTTTTATTAAATAAAGATTTAATTATTTAAGCTAATTTATTAAAAAGTTAGGCATATCAAGCATGATGTTTTATTATTATTTGAGAGTGAGAACAAAAACATGTAAATTTATAGTGTATATATATATGGTCGCAACATCCAAATGCAGTTTTAATATTTTGATGACAACTGAGGCTTAAACATTAAAATAAATAAAATAAAGCCTCCTACGGTCCCACTATTTACTAAACCCTATGGGTAAAAATGTAGAGGAAGATAAATTTCAATAACATTATAAAATTACATTGTAAGTATTAGTTATGAATCTTTAATTGTATTTATATTGTAATATAATATTTAAAAAGTATATCATACCTCACCTAATTTATGAATATATCATCGATACACAGCTTAAGTCGTTTAAGTATTTAACATATATGGTATTAATTAAAACACAGTATATGATTTGTTATTAATTTTGGTTTAATGCTCTAATTGTCAAATTTATGATTTTTAATTAACCATACATGTAATTTGTTTGAGTATCTCAGGAGGAAAAATAAAATTTTTAGATTTAAATAATATTTTGATCCCGGCTCCGAGTTCAAGCTGGTCCATTATTATCTTTTCTTATTGCAATAAAAATTTCACCTCCCCAATATTTTTCACTTTATTTTGGTCCATGTACTTTTTAAAATGTTTATTTTTGTCATTGTAATTTTTACTTTAGTTATTGTAATTTCAAAAAGTTCATTTTGGTCTATTCATTTTCATTTTTATCTCATTTGTTTTAAAATAGTTTGTCTACTAAATTTCTTGAAATATGTCATAAATTTGTTTTAATAGGTTTCTATTATATATAAAAATTGTGTCAAAACTTTGTATGGTCATTTTTAAAAAGTACAAAAACCAAAATCAACGTTCTAAAATTATACCAATAAAAATGAAGAAAAATTGAAAATACATAAATCTAAAAGTAGATCCTATAAGTAGTATTTAAAGTTTAAACCAACCTTTTAACATTTTTTACTTTGTGTGTGTACTATAGAAGACTGCAATTTGTATAATTTTTGTTAAATGTGGTTAATTTGTTGATTTATTATGGGAAAAAATGGAACTAATTTTGTAAAAAAAGTAAAACAATTTCCACAGTCCAAGTTAATAAAATTGTAAAATTAGGCGCAATAAAACAAATAAAGGGAGGAAATAAAAATATCTGGACGGAAACTTTTTGAAAATCAGAAATGGAAAAGAATGATTTTTATTTAATAATGATTGAGATGGTAATGGTATTAAAATTGAACCCCACGACATATTTTGAAGGAGATAACATTTTCATGGCTCACTACAAAACACCGACTTATTTTATTTTATTTTTAAAAGAGAATACTTAATATGTGGCTGTGAGATGGACAGCTGTCCCTCTCCAATGGTTGGTCTGTGAAAAAGACGTGGAATGACTCCACAAAAAAAAAAAAAAAAATATCCGACGAGCTGTCATCACAAGACCTACTTTGCACTTTTCCTTTCTCTTTTTTTTCTTTTTCTTTTTTTAAAACTCACTTAAATCAGAGGTTGCTTTTGTAAACAAAGAAAAAAAAAGCAAAGATTACTGTCATATCTTATCTTAATTCAACAATATGTAGCTGTTAATATTTGAATTTTTGATTTTTTATCTTAATTAAGTGACATATATTTTATTAACTAACATTAATAAATTGTTTTGTTTTGTTCTGTTATGTTTTTTTTTTATGGAAAAACTAAAAAAAAAAAGGGTTGAAAGGATGAGAGATTTATGGTAATATCCAATCCCTTGAAAATGGGAGAGGCATTCTATTTTGAAATGGGATTTATGATATTTTGATTAAAAGATCATAATTTGTAGGAAAGTATTCTAATTTATTAGCAGTTTAGGCTTTCAAAGAAATATTTAGTAAAACCTAAGAGAGAGAGAGAGAGGAAAATGTGGCGTTTTGTGTTCTCAAAGGTTCAATAAAGTCCAAATTTAACCAATAAATTAAATTGGGTGTATGAATTCAACTATCAAAAACGAGAGGCGGATATTTGTGCTGAGATATTAGGTATTTGGCCCGTGCCATCCGACCACCAATCACGTGCTTCCCTTTTTCCTCATTTATCCGTAATCTGTTATTTATTTAATTTAATTTATGTGTGAAATTGAAGAGCCATGATTATGATTTTTCCGTTCCCAGATCTACACATATTTGCCCTTCTTTTCGGCTTCTGGGTTCTTCCAGTCCAAATATAATAATAAAATGTACAGACAAACAGACAACACAAGTTTCCCCACTTGTTCCTTTTATCTTTGAATTGGATTGCAGTTGCATTGAATTGGTTCATGCTTGCCTCTGCAAATCCAACATCCTTTTTACTTCCATAATCTCAATCTGGCCTCTCTTGGGAATGCATGTCAATTGTGATTTCGTTTGGGCCTGGGCCTGCCTTTCTCCAACATCATAAAAGAGGAAGTCCAATCCCTCTCCCTAGCCCATGCCCTTAACTCCTTAAACCAAAATCTCCTCAACTCTTCTTGTGAAAAATGTTATAATTGTCTTTTTTTTTTTCAAAATTTTTTATTATTATTTTAATAAAACAAACAAAAAAAGAAAGAAAGAAAATGTTTGCCATAAAGTATAACAAATTTTTTAAAAGTAAATTACTAATCACTAGTTAGGTGCTCCTTATTGAACTATGCTTGTGTTGACCCCTCTATCTTTTTACTGTACTAAACACTCGTGCTAATAACACTTGTTCTAAAATAACTTCTAAACATACCTCTTAACAATTTTTCTAAAAAATTTAAAGCAAAACAAAGATGAAATAAAATAATATTTTTGAAATATAAAATAACAGCCATTTTAAAGATCAATTCCCTTTAATCCAAAATAATTATGGTCAAGGCAAAAAAGCATTGAGAATTTAAATTTTTTTAGTACGAATTTAGATTTTTCACCTTATTTGCAATTTTAATTTTGAGAATTTATTTATTTTTCCCTTCTAAAATTTTTACCTATCTCTGGCTCTATTCATCTTTAATTTTATATTGTAATCTCTCTCAAAAACTTTTATCTTTTTCTAAGTTTGTTTTCGTCTCTAAAATATTTTTTTAATTTTTCCTATCTATTTTTTCTCTCTCTAACTATATTTATCTCTATTTTTTTCTCTAAAATTTTTTAATCTATCTCTAAATTTGTAGTGTAGTCTTTTTCTAACTTTATTTTTCTCCCCAAAATTTTTTGCCTTTCATTCTCTATATAAGTATTGAGATTGATTATTTGTTATATATATCAGGCTCCTTTCATTTCGCCCGGCCGCAAACAGGACTCATTTATTGACTTGTATTTTATACCTCTAAGAAATTTGTTTACCCACCATTAGTCATGTTTTTTCATTTTAATTTACTTATAAATTGTGTTAAATAATTTTATATGTATTAGTGGATACTTCTCAATTTTTAGCTATAAATACAGAACCCAATTAATTTCATTTTCTCAAAGCATAGTTAATCCATCTATGACATTCTTGAAGAAAATTTTTTAGAAACTCCACGATTTCCCTTCAAAATTTGTGAAGAAGATCAAAAAGCTCTGCCTACTCCTATTGCTCCTGGTGGTGAATGACGAAGAGGATTAGTATTAGCCTGGATTTGCATGCATACGGGTAGGTTGGTGAATGATTATTTGATGTTCAACTTTAAATTTCAATTACTTAATTGACTATTGAAATTTCTCTCCAAGATTTGTGAAGAAGATCAAAACACTTGTCAAGAATCCCTATTAAAAAAAAAAAAAAAGGACACCGGAAAGAGAATTAGAGATTGGAAAAAAAAGTAATAATTAAATGATATAATTCTGAAATATAAAATCTTTAAAAGATGTAAAAATGTTAAACCTATGAATAAAAATAAACATAATAAATGTGTTTATCCAGATTAATGAGTTCTGTATGTATTTTCTTCTTAAATTAAAAATTGGCATTGATTCCTCCCACCCCCAAGAATTGAAAAACGTAGAAATAGTAATGTTAGATTGGAGATGCACTTTTTTTTAGTATCTACTTTTTCTTTCCTTTTTACAAACCATTGCTCCCTGTAGCTATACAAACAGTTGAAAGGAAAGGAAAACCTCAACGTCTCATAAAAACAAATAAAATAAAATCTAATCCGGTGCAGACTCGACAGGAAAAATAACAAAAAGAGAAACATTACAGACTCAACAGGTTGTTTGTAATCCGAAGGTTCTGATGGCGTCGGCGTCGGCGTCGGCTTTCCTTTTGGGAAGAGAAAGGGAAGATATGGTTTTGGCAGACACCACTTTGTTCACCAGAAGCTTCCACATTGCATCGTGTTTTCTTTTCTCTTGCTGCATCCTTACTTTGAACTGCCTGTCATACCAATACCAATACCAATAATTCCAATTCCAAAGTTAAAATTTATAATTCAGAAGTAGGTCCCCACTCCCCACTCCGCCAACAACCACTTTACCCATCCCATAAATCATTGACTAAAACACGCCAAAGTGAAAACGGAAATTTGGTCATTCGCCTTTTGGAAAAGGTGTCAGCCGAAGACTTTTTTCCTTTTTGTTTTTGAAAAGCGCCGTGGTCTGTAGACTTTCTGAATCCTAGACACCCACGGGCCACGGCCACGGCCACCATATTTGATTGGAAAAATAAACATCGTGGAAAGCGTTTGTTTCCATCAATTCCCAATTTGTAAATTAAATTTAATAATGCAATGATAAAAAAGAAAGTTTAATTCTGGAGGGGGTGGTTTTGAGTTTGGGTATACCTGCAAAGGGGGACTTTGCAAGAATCGGATTGGTCGCAGATGGAGGCATGCAGCCGTAGAAGCTGCCACATCCGTTTGCAGCGCCAGCATGATCCTCCTTCCTGGACTCTGTTCCGACACGTCGCGAAGTGCTTGATCAGAAGCTGAACGCCACGACACGTCGAGAATTTGGAACACGGCTTCTTTGTGGGCTCCACGTCGTGCGGCCCAACTTCTGTGCACCCTTCCTTGCAGATGTGCTCCAGGCACTCCATGGCGTCGCTTAGCTGAAGGTACAGCCTCTGCTCCTTCCTCTGCCTTCTACACCTCTTCTTCCTCTGCACGGAATTTCACAATTTAAATTAATAATTGATGCGGTGAACCAAAAGAACAAGAGAGGCAGTGGAATCAGGAATGTATACCAATTCGGATTCATCCATGAATTGCAGAATCTGAAGCTCCAGCCAAGGGTCATGCTCTTGCAGGAATTTCCAGCCCTCCGTTTTCTCCACGGCCTTGAAGTGGCTCGACACCATCTTCATACAGCTAAGGGACAGATCCGGTGCGTCGCACATTCTTGCGAGTTGGAGTATGTCGACGACGCTATCAATCGTCAACTGTCGAGCCAATTGCTTGCTGCATCGCTGCTTCAAATGTGGAACCAGGTAGACATGCGAGAGCGCCAATAGATGGATTCCGTACTTTCGGAGATATTCCTCAGGGCACCTGTTGGAAACACGCCGACAATTTAGACTCACTCCGCCTACCAACATTGACAAAATCAAATTTAGACTATTCTAATTTAGATATTTTTTTTTACCTGGAGGTGTAGAGGAATTGGACAAACGAAACGACTGCCTCGCACGGAACGCCGAGAATCGGAATCACTTTCTCGGAGCTCCGGTGCTTTCGCGGTTGGTCGATGATGTTTTCCAGAACCGCCGAAACCGATGCCTAAAATTGAAATCGATTCGAAAATAAAGAAAATCAGATCCTTCTATCGATTGAAGGAAATTACAGACGATAAAATTAAAAAGGAAGTTGCGAATTTGAGGAACCCTAATCCACGAGGTTTAATCGCAATCAACAGACATTTTAAGTCAAGATGAGATTTAAAAGAGAAAAAAAAAGGAAGAAGAGAGATCCGACGGAGTACCAGAATGGTGGAGTGCGCAGGAATTCGAAGTCCACCGGACGTAACGATATGGATGTCCGGGTCCGGCAGCTCGTGGAACTGTGGTTTCCGATCTTTGGCGGCGGCGGCGAGAGAATGGGGGTGAACTTGGTAGGGAACATGAACTGCTTCCATGAGGGTGATGGAGAGAGAGAGAGAAAAAGAGAAGGAGAAGATTTAGGATGTGGATGTGGGTGGCTCCATTGCACATTGACTATATATAGACGGCGGTGGGTGGACAGAGAATTTGAAGTGGAGTGCTCCACGAAGACGAAGACGAAGACGAAGCAGCCAGTCACGTGAGAAACACGCGCTCCTCGTTACGCGTTAGCGTAAATTGGTCGGTCCCATCCGGCCAGGCGGTCTCGCATCGATATTACAACATATGTTAAATATTTGAATTTTCGCAATAAACAAAATTATTTTAATTTTTGAAGGGGAGAATTCCATTTCTTTTCTTGCAAAGGAGGAGAATTCCATTTCGATCCAAATCCAACTAACCTCAACACGTTAATTTTTTTGCCAACCGTCAAATTCCAAATTCCCCACCTTTTTTTTTTCCTTTTCTTTTCAAAACTAATAAAACAGATTATAAACTTTCGTGTTAATATTGTTTACAAAATGAAATGTCGTTCGTTCTATCTTTTCGGTAAATAAAGGTTAGATAAATAGCCGTCTAATCCTATTTGAAAAACATGATAAAGTATTTTGTTTAATAGGTGAAATATACTATTTTATCATTTTTACTTGTATAATAAATATCAAAAAATAAATGTAACATAAAATTTTAAATACTTGATTTGAAAAATTAATTTTATTTATTTTTTCATAGAAAATGAAAGAACAATAAACCATAAACATTACAAAATGTAATTATGTTTTTGTTAATTGAAAAAGTGAAAATGAAAAAAAAAAGAAACAAAAATCATTTTGTCTGTTAATTGAAAAAGTGAAAATAAAAAAGAAACAAAATCATTATCAACTGTAAAATAATAAATCTAAAAGTGACATTTTAAAATATTATATACCAAAACAAATGCATTAGATTTACATATTTATATAAAAGCAATCCACGAAAAGTTTTTACACCCCATTAAAGAAAGGAAAAGAAATAAGAAGTTGTGTTTACTCCTTCAACCGATAACGATAGATGCGGAGAAATGTTAAATGCAAACAAAAACTCTAGAATAATCCACGTAGGCCCTACCTTTTCGGAATATAAGCAAATATCTTTTACAAGGAAGGGGTGTTCTTTTGGTCCTACGTGGAACGGATAAACCAACTCATGCTGTAAGGAAAAGGCCATGTATGCTAAAATGACCTTTGGGGTTCAGAAGAAGCACTTAATTTCCGTCCCAGGTGTACCCTCATGTTGATCCCTTTTCCACCTCACGCACATAACCTCTGCCACATGGGCATCCCACTTGGACAATAACATTCTTTAATTCCAATTTGCAATCAAAGAAATTATTAATGAAATAAAAGAATGGATTAATATGATGCCTTTTGACGACATGCTGGAGTTACATATATTAAAATAAAGATTAATGCGTTTATAGTTTATTTATAAGGTGGGTGGGATTTCTTTAGACCTTTTATGTTCATAAATCATAAGAAATAGTCCACATGTAATTAATATTTATTTCTTCGTTTGTCGAATTACCGTCATTTGTTAATACCACTTCAATCAAATATACATTTTTTCATCTTCAACAAAAAATGTCAATAAAGTTGCAATTATTATTTTTTATGTTGCTTTTCATATTTTATTGTATATAGCATCATATATTATTATAGATATCTAGAAACTGATATAGAGGAGAGTGGGCTTCTTTCGTCCAAATGAAGGACCACTCATTAGGCCCATATGGGTGGAGATTTTTGATTGCCATCCCAGGGCAGCTTAGTTGATTTTTTTTTTGAATGGTAACCCAAGAATTTAATAAAATCAGAGGAGGAACACAGAAGTTGCCATTTTCCAAGACTAAAAATGCTTCAAAAAATTAAGAACAACTCTTTCTCTTCCTAAATTTCTACTCAATTTAAGTTTTATATCTCACCACCTCTTTTTCTACCCTGCCACCTCTTTTTAACCGAATAATTTTTAAATTTTGAAGGCATCTCTTGCACAATAAAGCTGTATATTTCAGTTATACCAAGCTATATACAAATTATATCCATTCAAATCCTAGCATGAAAAAAACTATAACAAACATCCGTTTCAAAAATAGATATTAAGCATGGCATAACATTATATTGTTCAATCATAGTATATTAAGCATAAGCATAACTATTATATTGTTCATTCATAGTAGAAGGAAACCGTTGAGTCTAAAAATAACAAAATCCAGTACCTTGGAACACCATATTGATGGGAAAGTAGATGATAGATAATATTATAAAACTATATTTCATTAACACTTACTTCTTGGGGAGTGATAGCCTACGTAAAAGCACCTCTACTTCTTTTATACCATCAAAGACTTGAGCCTGAAAAGTTGTGGTTGGATCGTCGGGGGGAGTTCCACTCGGCTTTGCCGTGAACGTAAGATAACAAAGCAAACCGGCCACAATCGAAGCATTCACCTTCACGTATTCTACAACCTCAAAACTTGTATCCTACACACAAAGAACAAAACATTTTATCATAACTATCGCATAAACTTTAGAAGGAGAAGCACAGATCTAGTACATTACATTTTGTTCATCCTACTGTTTAATGGCTAGGTTTCCAGCTTGAACAATGTGTTAATTCCTTCCATGGTTCTACATAGAGCAAAGGGTCAATTCTACCGATTGCATGAGAGTTGGGAAAATACGGAACATCAAAACCTGCATTGCATTAAATGGGAGGGTTATAACATCCAATAAAAAGAAGGAAACAAGAAAAATGGCGGGAAAATTTTCAAATGAAAACTTCGCTCTCTCCATCAAAGCAACCTAAATAAATCCTTACTTGATAATTAAATCAAAGGTTACGTTAGAATAATGTGCTGACAAAATAAAATAAATAGTTTGTAAGAAACTATGGAGTTGTGCTATGCTTACACAGTCAAACAAATTTATAACCAAATAAAAACAAAGTACTACGTACTACACTTAAACTTGGCACGTAACTACAGCACAGCAGCAAATTAGGAAAGGAAGAATTTCATAGATATTTAAGGTGATACAATTATTGAGAGTTGAGAGAAAGTAGTAGAAGGCAGGAAAGATGATTGGAAAGGAAAGATGATTGGAAAGGAAAATGAGTCTCCTTCCTCATGAGACATTATAATCATAATGAGTAGTCATATGATCTCATTTCGTCTTTTTTAACTAAGAAAAATTCAGGTACTGTGTGTATCTTTATTTACTCTGTCTTTATTCTGTCCAACGCATCTTTTCTTTAGTCTGTCTATACGCTTATTTACCCTATATTAGATAGAGATTATCTTTCACCATAGTAAAAACTAAGTAATGAAATGATGCAAACAAATCACTCATTATAGTGTAAGTAAACTATTTTCAATACCACGTAAGTATTATTATATACGACGTATGAATAAGAAAATACCTTAGCTTCATCCTCGTCCAGGTGCTTCACCACGTTTCTAGTTTGTCATTACCTTTATTTGTAACTTTTTTTGTATGTTTTTTTTTATCGATTACGTTTTTTTTTGGCAAGAATGAGACGGTTTGTGAGTTTGATATTAATTTTTGTGTCTCCAATCTAGCTACCCCTCCATAGTTTTAAAAACAGTATTTGATTTTTCAATCTTATTTTTTCTACTCATTTTCCACTTTTATTTACGTTTTATTAGGCGATATATTTTTTCATATTTTTCTACATTATATATATATATATATATTTTCAAATCATTCATTTAACCGATTTTATTTTTGAAATTTTGAAATTTCTAAATCTAGATTTAATTTTTGAAAATTTTGAACTTTAATTCACTATTTTATTTCCTAAAATCAAGCCATAGCAAAAAGTTGTTTCAAGGGTATTTTTGCCACAAAATTTAAGGGATAATGGTAGGATAATTTAGCTATTTTGGTGGGAGGGTATATTTGACCATATGAAGTATAACTATTTGATAGTCATTTTTGTGATATTGGATACTTTTGGCCATTTTTGAAGTAGAGTTATTTAATATAGTCATTCCTCTAGTTGCCCATAATATCATTTCCTCTAGCCAATGTCCAAATTTCAAGCCCATAAATAAGGAGAGTTTTAAGAATATGAATAAACAAATTTAAAAACTAACAAAATAATAATTTCTTTTTAATCAATACATAAACATTAATATTATTGGGGTGAGAATGCATTCTCATTTTCTATCCTAGCAGGACATGGTATGTTTATAATTTACTCTCTCACACAATGTCTATATGGAACATGAAAGATAAAGCTTTTAGAGGACCAGAACATAAGTAATTAACTATACCATCATCATTAGAGTTTTATATAATTGAAGAAGAGGAGGTTACAGAAGAATGTTACAAAAGAATTAAACGAAACGAGGGAGGAAATGGAAGAATCCTCGGTAAAATCTCCTATGCAAATGCCCTTCTTTTTCTATAAGAATTTGGAGGAATTTCTCCAATATATTACAGTCCAATGAGATGTATAGTTCAATCATACTAAGCTATATATCTCGCTCTCTTCAATCACTTCCATTATTATTAACTAAGTCTAATAGCTGCCACAAAACAATAAAAGCTAATTTCATACCAACTCTTACAGGAGATTTCAGCTTGGTAAAAAGTTACATTACAAGCATGAGGAATGCAATGCAATATTTATGCTAAGATTTTTTTCGGTGTAGACCAAAGCATACTGTTTCCATAGACAATGCAACTCCATAATTTCTTTCAAGATGACATTTGATAAAATACCTGAACCGATAGGAAGTGGGTATTGCAGATCTAGGCTTGTTCAAATATTGTCAAGGACAAACGTCCACGTATGGGACAGCACCGTCGGAGGTCTAGGGGTTGTGAATTCGAGCCGGGTCTCGGTAGATGTTGTTGGGGGTTGTTTCTGTGTTGTTCGTGGCTGTCTCCGCAGGTCATCTGAGGGGAAAGCTCGTCGCAGCTTCGTTGTTGTCGCAGTAACGAGTTGTCGGCATAGATCTAGTTGGGGTGGGAGAGGAAAGGCGGCTGGGTGTGAGTTGAGAGAGATCGAAGAGCGACGTTGAAAGATGTGGTAGGAGCTGGGAAGGCAGAATGTTTAGGAAGTGTACAATTTTTAAGTTAGGGTTAAAAATGTGCACCTTTTAATGTCAGGCTCTGCCCGCCATTAAAAGTAGAATTATTTTATTTTATCTTGTCGGATGTTGTTTCCTCTATGGTTTTTTTATCCGACATTATTTCATCCGTGTATATTTTTTGTCCGAAATTAAAACCTAGATTTCTACCGGTGAAAATAATAATAATAATAATTTTGGCGGCTGAAGCTAATTTACACTTCCCGGGAATAAGAAGCTTCCAAAAAGCCAAGAAGAAGGAAGGGGGACAATAGTGAATCAATGATCTGTCTGCCATGAACGAACGCAGATTGTTGGGGGACAATAGTGAATGGTAGGACTGTTTTGAGTCGACCTGCAAGAACCTTCGCCAAAATTTTGTACACACCGGTTGTTAAGCTTATGAGCCTGAACTCCAACATTTTTTTTGGTTTGACATTCTTTGGAACGGAGGCTATATGAATTTCATTCAAGACACGGTTCACTATTCCATTTCTAAAAAAATCCTGGAACAAATTAAAAAAAATTAGGTTTGAAAGTGTTCCAAGACTTTTTAAAGAATTCTACGGTGAAACCATCCGGCGTTGGAGCTTTGTTTGACCTGAGCTCTTCAAACTTTGTAAAATTTCGGACTCTGCAAAGAGAAATTGACTCAATTGACCTGAAAAAGTTTCCATTTTGCTCAAATGACCTAAATTATAAAAATTGACTCAACTGACCCAGTTTTAACTTTTCTGACATTTCAGAGAGTCTGCAATTACGAATATACCCCCAAATGAATTGAACCACAACAAATCTGGCACAGAATCACCTAGGTTGGTGTAATTAAAACCATGGGCGAGTTCCACTTGATTCATGGCCATGAATTTATTAAAATACCACCAACTTAATAATTCCCCACCAAATTTTTGTACTATCATTTATTATATACCCACACATTCTCACCGAGTGTAGAGAATAAAAGTATGTTTCAGTCCGTATTGTCCAGAAGCACATCTTTCACGTGGTTTTGAAGAACTTCCATACCTTTTCCAACGTTTTTCACATCTTGAATCCATTAAAGGAAGTCAATTTTTCATCTCTGACACCTTGAACGAGGTTAGTTTTTTATTGGTTCATAATATTGTTTTCGATTCATCTAGAATATGATGTATTTAGTTGGAGTAAATGGAATTTCTGAATTTTTGTTAGTATTTTTGTGGGTAAAAGAAGTTATGTAAGTCAATGATTCATGACCGTGTTTATTCGTTTAATGGCCGTGGTCAATGGTTTTATGATTAACGGCCGTGGTTTTAGGTCGATTGCATACAG